TCGTCTGTTTTGTGGAGCCATATACCTCCAGCAACGTTACAGTATTACAACTTATTCATGTCTGATACCGATTTTGCAACTTTCAGTATCTGTCGACACCAATATTAATCTCATACCTTCTTCTTTACCCCATCATGCTGTGGGCTGCTGCTGGCAATAGTGTCCCTGTTTACGAAACGTCGCACAAAGTTAAGTTGAGTAAACTGATATCGATCCGGTGTATCAGACCTAGCCGTCCCTAATATAAATTATACTGCATTAAACTTGAAGCATCTGCACCAGTCAGTACAAGAACACACTGCACCGTACCAACCCCCCCTGAACCTTCCTGAGGGTGGTGAGTCCACTGGAAGGTACCAACCGCCCTACCTGGGATTCGATCTTGCCCAGGAAGTGAACCCTGGGGTTCAACACCGATGATAGAGACGTTGCCTCAAGCCCAAAGCGCCGCCACACCAATGTTAGTAAATTATTTACATTTCCCTCATTCTTTATTTTCAATTCATCTTCAACCCTGAGGGTTTCCAAAAATAGTTTGAAAATTTGTATGTAGCTAAACTGAACTCTATTACTGCAGCAACTTGACCTCGGCATCAGGCAACTCATGAAAATTTGATTTTAAAAGCCTTGGAACATTTGTCTTTGATCCATAGAGGAGCAAAAATAACAAAAGATGCATTATTGAGGAAGGAAACGCCAGACAAAAATCAACACCTGCCGCCAGTAATGTTCGCGTTTTCACTTAGAGATTTTTAGGCAGCGAGTGGTGAGGGCTGCACAAAGACGTGGCATCCTAAAGAAACTGCCCGCTTTTTTTAAACAACACGCTCCCTGCCATTGTTCCCACAGTCTAAGAATATAGGTCAGAAAGAGGCTGTTGACATTCTGCTGAAAGGAACTTTTACTCTGCTGCAGTGCCTGCCATGGCTCCCCACTCACTGACTGGACATCAAGGTCATACCCTACGCCAGGAGAGAAGCCTAAAAATGTCTTCTCCTTCTTTGTTCATGTTTGTAAACCTGAAAATGTAAGCAAACGTCAGGCGTTTTTTTTTTTTTTTTAACCTTGTCATATTTTTAAAGGAACATGAAGCCAAGGTCTTTTATGGTAGATTCTGAATCCTAGAGAAAAAGTAGTTCCCCAAAAAGATTACACCATTCTGCTGTGTAGTATCACGTATTTAATTGAATTTTTACCACATTTACCAAGTACTGATTTAACAAGTATATTTGTTTGATCACACTGTTTACCTCCATACATGGAAAAGTACATGATGTGAGTACAGTTCTTTATAAATTATTGTCTTGCTTTTCTTTGTAAATTAGATAAAAAATATTCGTATACCTTAATATTCTAGAACTTTTGTGAACTGTATTCAAAAGTTCATTAATCAGGTTTTACTGAATTTATCGCCCTCATTGAATTGTATTTTCACCAATATATCATATACATATCATATATTTTATATTTCCATATATGATACTATACATCTAAATAGGTGTGTGCATATATATCGATATATATGTGTATAAACATTATATTTATATTTACAATATATTCTTTATATATGTGAGTATATATATTTATATGTATACATATATAAATATAGATAGATAGATAGATAGATAGATAGATAGATAGACACATATATACATATACTGACATATATGATAGATATTTATTTTTGCTTACACTAAAGTATAAACAAATGTTTCAAAATAATGTGCATTTCAGACGACATCAAAAAAATAAAATTTGCCTTTTAAAGACCTGCAATAACAGATGACTGCTGTAAAATGTAACTCTGAGATTAAGTGTGTTTAAAACATATTAGTAAAATTCAATATATATAAAAAAGCTAATAAAAGACAAAAGGCAATGTTCCAATACATTACCACACCTCAGCTCTCACATTAACCTGGATCTAAAACTTCTGAGTCACCAGTAATTCAATGAAGTGAACATTCAGGTCGACTATCCGGCTACTATTACATTGCAGAGCAGGCAAAATGTCAATGGCTAATTACTGATGGTTGTTACTGTGGTTTCCAAGGTCTCAGCTAATTGGCTGTTTGGATCCAGGGAAATGGCAGTGCCTGGAGGCCAGTCACCTCTGGATACGTTTGGAACCAGTGACCTAACTTTCATGAGCAGCAGACAGAGTGGATTAATGTTTAATTAATTAAGGTGTGGGTAGACGCACGGCGAGAGGCTTGAGAAACTAGGACGGCATCTTTTTTTAAGCAGGAGATCAGGTCACGCTAACGGGCTCTGACGCAAAATGACGCAAAAAAGGGGCAACAAGGCTCCGTCTGTGGGAAATAGGTGGAGTTCAATTATGTTTAAATCAGAAGCCTGAAACAAGCCAAAAAGAGCGACCCACCCTCAATAAAAACTTGATAAAAAATAAAAGCAAAAACACCAATAAGCGAGCAGAGTGGCGCAGCGGAAGCGTGTTGGGCTCATAACCCAGAGGTCGATGGATCGAAACCATCCTCTGCTCTTTTATGCAATAATTTTCCCAGTATGGGATCAATCAAATCCATGAGAATAACACATCCATAACAAAATTAATTAAACTTAAATAAAACCCCCCCTAGTGGTCAGAAATTTTTTCACACCCACCCCCTAAGTTGAAATACTATTGCGAACCTAATAATATATATTACGTTATCTATACAAACCACCGTATGAGTGACTGCCACCTAGTGACTGGAGGCTAGTTTATTATTCAAGCATTCCAGCAGTGGCCACTTCTGTCCCGCATGATATATTCCATCTGTAGCCTCTCCCCCCACTCGGGCACCTCACTGTGCCCCCCCCAGGGGTCCCAACCCACAATTTGAGAAGCACTGCATTAGACATAGGTGCAACAAAACAGGACATTCTTTTTAGCGTAATTACATCAAACTCCAACAAATCCCTAATGCTGAACCAATAGTACAAAGTTTTTGGTTTTTTTAATGACTTTCACTGAATCTTCTCAGTGTAAGAAGCTCAAACGTTACTTCCTGTGGTGGGAGAGAGGAAAGTCAGGCATCAGGTGCTGGTGGTCTACCAACAATATTCCAGAACAGGCTGCTGAAGCCTAAGATGACATAAGCCAGGACACACAGTAGAAATGATCTTCATATAATGGAAGAAGTGAGCTCAGACTGGAGCTAAAAAAAATGTATTTGACTTTTTTCTATCAGGGGAAGGCAGCTGCATTACACTGAATCAGACCTTTCTATTACATCCAATATATGTTGTATATTTCTAGGATTTACTGTGTGTGAGGAGATCGGTGGCCATGACAACAAATGGATCACCGGGACGGGATGAAACTTGTTTGTGTTTGTGTGACTCCACTCACAACGGCAATCATACAATACTAACATGATTGAAGTCACAAGTCAGTCAATAAGTTCTTCGTTTTTATCACTGTGTAGCGGTTATCACATCTGCTTTACAGGCAGAAGGTCCTGAGTTTGAGCCCCGATGGAACCATATTTTTCATCTTCATGTGAGTCTTAGGGGATCTATTACGGTGCAGTGTTTTTTGGGTGGCGGTCGTGGAGGCTGCTGCCCCTGCGACCTGGTAACAGATAAGTGGATGAAGATGGATGGATTGTAGGTGCAGTATACTGGCGTCCAAAAGTTATGGTACAAATTTTCTGGCCACATTTCACAGCATTCATTGTTAATTTTTTACTTAGCCATTGCAACAAAAATATATGTACAAAGTTATTACACAAAAAGCATGATTAAGATTTAGCAACTGTTTCTTTGAATTAAAACTATTTCATGGCTGCTCTATTCCCTTTATGATTCTTTAGCCAACGAACCAGTCTGAGTGAGAGATTAAATATTCATTATTTGACTCCAAATTTCATAGGTATTTCTCCCGGTGGCATTAAGGCGAAGAAAAGAATGAGAGCGAAATCCAGAGAAAAATATGATGCCAGCAGTCAGCACAATATGGTCTCCTACACCAAGGGCACCCAGCGCAAAGACAGTTCTATTTCGAGCTGCATTCGTCCCGCCCTCTCCTGAGATGTAGACTTAGTTTTATCCTGCTGCAACAGAATGAATAAATAAATAAAGTGCATCCATTTTTTTTTTTTTTTTTGCAGAAATGAAAATCAAATGAAGTGGCACAAACAACCGTGAAGGCACGACACGGAACAATGACCCTCACCTGTCCAATAAACGCCCCCAAGACAAGAGATTATATACCGCTGAATGGTTAATCACACTCTCGGTAAGATTCATGCTCCAGAGTGTGAGTTTGTGCCTGTGTCATGTTCTGTTGGCCGCGGTACAATGGGATTTGCAGCCCTTACGCTGATGACAAATCTTTTAGGCAAATTTTTACACTTGACTTGTATTTGTGTTCTTCTAAGTTACTTTAAATAAGAGCAGAGTTCTACTAATAATAATTAAGTATTACAGTATATTATGAGAATAACCCATACAATGGATATTCTGAAATGCATCATGTACAGTTATGTTATACATATATGTATATATTTATATGCGGATATATATACACATATTTATACATGTAAATATATATAAACACATTAATCCAACCAACCATCCATCCATTTGCATCCACTTATCCCATTGACAGGTCGCGGGGGCAACAGTCTCCACGACCGCCACCCAAATCACACTGTGCCGTACCAACCCCCCCGAACCTTCCTGTGGTTGGTGAGTCCACTGGAAGGTACCAACCGCCCTAACTGGGATTCAATCTTGCCCAGGAGGTGAACCCTGGAGTTCCACATCAATGTCAGAGACATTGCCACTGGGCCAAAGTGCCACATACCCATAAATATAAAGATATAAATATAACTGACAATAGGCCACACCTTTAATTGTGTGACATATGGTATTTTGTAAATAATTCATTTATAGTACTTTAAAAATCACTGCATATTAATAGAACAGGCTGAACAGAAAGTGAGCAGAGCTTTTACAGTGAAACTGTGACTAGACTAGAATGAGCGCCAGTCGGTTCCTTGGTGTAGTGGTTAGCACGCCTGCCTCACAAGCAGAGAAGCCTGGGTTCGATTCCCAGGGGAACCACATGCTTGTCACTTGCTAGGGGCAGCATGTTAACAGCATATCTCCTGCAAACACACCGAACTCCCAAATCGCAGCTCAGCTGTGTTTTATTTATTTATTTATTTATTTAGTGTGCATTGGTCTTGTGTCCCTGCAGGAGATCCTGGGACTGTTCTTTTTAATGGATTCTGCTTGTTTCTTGGAAACTACCTTTCAAGTTTTTCTTCTTTTCAATCTCAGTCTCAGGATGTTGATGATACTGCAGAGGCTTTAGTCTGTAACGATGCTAATTCTACCCAGTGTCATTAGCAGGGCTGGAGTTAAAGCGATGAAAGGCTTAAAGCCTTCAATCACAAACAACAGCAACATCACGATGGAACTAGAGATTCAAAAGATACCATGGTATACCTGGAGTAGAAGCTGCTGCCACTGGTTATCAGAACATGAAGGATGTGACCTACAATGGTTTGGACCAGAGTGACAACAGATCAATACTCTGTGATTAGTTAACTTGATTAACTTTTAATGAGTTCATCTGAGTGTTGAGAAACACAAAAATCTAAACATGTCCAATTATCATCATCATCGTCATCAACATCATCATCATTTCCTCTCCCCCCCCCTCCCCCCGTTACACCTTATCCCTCCTACCTCCACTGTTTGTCTCTCTATCAGATGTAAAAGCCAATGAAAATCATCCATTGTCTTCAACAATGACATCACTTCATTTGTTTACCGAAACAATAAACCTCAACGATTCTAAAGATTGCAACAAACTGCAATGGATTATGGGTTTCCAGTCCAGGATCCACAGCAACATCTTTGGTATGTTATTATTTTTGAGCATGAATGGTGCGTAGAAAGGTGAAGATTGATTGCCAGTTGCCTGACCTGATTCCTCTCAACCACTGAAGTTACAGCCTCTCAGGTTATGGTGAAACCAGTGCAGTCGCGATAGAAGCACCAGTTCCCACGTGTGATCACTGGAGCAGTCATTACGACACTTCAGACAGTGAGAGTGAAAGCCAGGAGTTCAGAAACAATGGAGATAAATGGTCATGTGAATAGGGAAGTGGACCGAGGAACCAGGGCTCTCTGAGTGGGCCTGAGTGCGGAGTTATGTGTCTCACAGTGAAATTAGTAATCGTGCTACCATCCATCATTGAATGACCTGCTATTGATCGCAAGGGCAACCTCTCTTTTCAGCTAAATTATATCACGAAAAAAAAGAATAACAAATATCTGCACACTCTGAATGGGACACCCTTTTGTTGACCTCAGCAGAAAAAAAAAGTGATTTTTTTTGCATTAAACTTCACAGAGCACATCAGGCAGTTCTGTTTAGAGATGTGTACGATCTTGTTCTGTGTATGGAACAGGTTTAAAAAAACACTGACTTTGAAAGGTGGAGAATTTCAGCTGCCAATTCTTGTTATACTCCAGTGTTACCTCAGTGATGAGTGCTGCAGGCTGTTCTGCTGTGCAAAAAAAAAAAAAAAATTGCTGCCAATACGTGCCAATTTGAGTATTGCTTCCTTTCAACGGTCAAGTCCATAGATTTCCCACTTCACTAGGGGTCGCCACTACACTAGTCTTTTATACCAGACGCGCTTTCATTACATTTGCATGTTTGTGTTTTGCAAAAAATGTTTTCAAAAGAGACTGGCACAAGGAGGATTATATATATGATTCCATCGTGTCTTGAACCCATGACCTACTGCATGTAAGGCAGGTGTGATAACTGCCCCACTATAGAAGCAGCCCTCTGTGAGGCAACCAAACTTCAGATATTTATGATCGGTATAGGTCCGATATTGGTAAAAGCTTCAAGATCGAACATCGAAAAACACCCCGACTATCTCCAGTACGACCCGATACCCTAGCCTAAATTCTCAACTTAACTTTGCGACATGCTGTAAATATGGCCACCACCGCCTCAGCGATATCGGATTGATATTGGTACTCCAAGTTGCAGTAAGAAAGAGTTGTATCGAGCAATTCCTCAGGACTCTCCAGCCAGCCTTTTTGTCCCCATTTTACATCTCCAATCAATATTTAAATTTTAACCAGCAACTCAGATGTACTGCACTGCACCAAATAAGGTCAGGAGCAGATTTATTTCCCATCGCAGAGTCAATAACAAAGGCAGACATTGTGTTCGCCGCCCTCACGTCATTGATCAATGGTGCTGCGCGACCGCCAAATCACAGAATATCGAGGTCACTTGTCTCTGCATATTCACTGGTGTCCCTCGCAACCATGTGACTACAGTAGGTCTCGCTGTGTAAATTTAGATCGTGAACTTAGTTGACTTCAGTCGATGTAGAATACACACCCTGACATGATACAGGCAGAAAGAGGGAGGTGTGTGTGTGTGTGTGTGTGTGTTGGAGACATCTACAGGAAACACAGCACTGAGAGAGAGCAAAGATAATCCCTTAGTCACAGACAGGCACATTAAGGCATCAGATAGGTGGTGCTGTAGCTGACATGTTTGAGAAACAAAACATATTGGTAAAAGCTTTCCAAACCTGCAGAGAGGACGCTTAAAGGATTTGCACGAGACACGGCATCTGTGAAAAGGTGTGTGCACGTGTGTGTGTGTGTGCACCAGAGTGTTCACAGTGACAGGGTGAAATGACAAGGTTTATGTTTTAAATCCCCCAGAGAGACTTTTGACATGACAACCTAGGACTGAGATTGTTTTTTTTTTTACACGGGACCTGCTGTTTTCCTACTGACCACCGGGCTTCACTCAGATTTTTTCCATTTACAAATCCCTAATCCCTCACCCCAGAAGTGGGACACTTGCTATTTCTCCACTGCATAATCACAGCACTGCCAACGTAATCCCATAGACTTCAAATATAGGCCCCTTCAAATATACAGTACATGTTGTTTAATGCAGCATGTGTCCCATGGATTGCTGGGTTTGTGGATCTGCCCACACTGCTTTATAGTTGATATTGTTTGAACTTGATTTATTTTCATCAAAGTGAAAGAATAAAGTAAGAATAAAGTAATATAGTTTTTCGCAAATACTAGACATTTTAGGCAAGCGCCTTTGAATTCCTAACAACCCTGCATGGAGTTGGAGTTTGCCCGTACGTAGACACTTGATTCCGTACTGCACCTTACATGTACACTAAACTTAGAATTAACTTAACTTTTTACTTTAGGATGGTACATATCGTGGATGTACTGCGATCATACATACGTGCTCGATCACTCACGCGGGCACCACGCTCATATTTATTGACTCTCTACCATCCTTACCACTCACTCTCTACGCTCTCTACGTATGGAAGCGATGCTTACGGAAGTCTCCAAACACGTCAAGTGAACGAGGGTCGGCATCTGTAAGCGTGCTCACGTCTCAAATCTTTACTCGTATAAATGTTTACTCATATCTTGAAATACTCGTATGTCGAGGCGCTCGTATCTCGAGGTTCCACTGTATTGCCTTTGCAATTTTCTCTAAAGAAGGGTGAGCAGGTGAGCAGGTGGGGAGTCTGCTCCCTGAGGTCCTTTTTCAATTAGCCTACAGAGGTTCCATTAACTACCTCTGGTACCATGGTGGCAGACATTATTAATTTCTACTTCTGCAGAGTTTGTTTTACACTGTCATGCATCGTAACTGTGAAAGGAGCAGCACCGCAGGGCATTGGACCATATGTTCTGACCACAGGTTTCTTAATATTTGGTGCACACAAAAAATTAGTAGAACATTGGAAACTGCTTGGCTGAAACTTTTATTAAACTTTATGAGAAAATATTGTTTTTTGTGCCTGTGTGTGTTTTTACTGAGGAACTTAGAATTTAAAAGTTGATGCCTTTAAGACACTGAAATGTCAGAAGTGACACAAAGGAAGATCGGAAAGGTCACATTCGTTACATTTTGGAAGGTTCACTAAATCAGCAGGACAAATAATGAAAGGTCAGGTTTTCAAGATCGGGTCTGAAGGAAGCGTCCACTGAAGACAAGGAAACTGGGGACAAAACCAATTAACTCCTCATTTAGGATGAGGGTTTAATTATCAAGTCAAGGAGGTCAGATCAGCGAAATTGTTCATATGGAAAATGGAAAGGAAGACACGTGTCTGCCATGTGAGGCATTTAATTCCAATTCATATATTGCAATAATTTGCAACTTTTGATAACATCGAATAACAAAATTAGGAAGCGGAAAAATAAAACTTGAGAAATACTTTCCTCAGTTCTGAAACTATTAAAAATGTAAAAAAAAAAAAAAAAAAAAACACAAAATGATATTGACCCAGGGTTAAAATCGACTATATTTCTATATATTTTTATTTCTAAATTGTACTTTGTCCTTCAGTGTAATAAATTAAACAGCAGTTCCGAAATACAAATGAGATTTTTTTTTTCCTGATTAAGTCCTGTTCACAGCGCCCACACCAACACTTTGTCATGGAGTCAACTCAACTATTTCCACCATATATTTCTGTGGACAGTTATACACACATTACATTGATTCCCACTCATTCAGACTTGTCTTCTTCAAATGTCTTTGCACCATCAACCTTGAACTGTGGACACCCCGGGGGCCCAGCAGAGACCTGAGAGGGACTGAGGCCTGGTCTCCACTCTGTCATAACGTGCCTGCAGCCATGAGGGAAAAGGAAGGAGGTGGGAGACATACAGGAGAAAGGAGGGCGAGATAGAGCTTGTAAAAGACAGAGAGAGACAGAGAGAGAGAGAGAGAGAGAGACTCCTTCAGCTCAGTCAAAAAGCCAAACCTCAAACACATCACAAGTATTGGTCACATCAGTGAGTCCATTGATTTGACTGTCACCTTCTGTGTGAGCTGAAAAACAACAACAAAATTGAAGAAAAACTTTTCATTTGGCCTCACTGTGAATCAAACAGAGTGATATAAGCCATAAACTAAAGATATGGAAATATTTGAACGTTCAACAGGTATGTATGTCGTCTTCCATGTTATCTGTCATAAGAAGCGTTAAAACAGGGGTCTCAAACCCCCGGCCCACGGGCCACTT